TATATATAGGACTCGAACCAGCGACCTTCTTGCTGTGAGGCGACGTTGCTAACCACTAAGCCACTTTGTCGCCCTTTTTCTGGTGTGTTTTGAGTGTGTTTCAGAGTTAGTGTATTACCGTAGGTCTTATGTATTTGTTTAATAAAAAGCAAAGAGGGCAACACTTCTGTGGTAATCATTGCTGTGCCACAAGTATGTCTTTACCTGTGAGATAACCGGATGAACAAGCTGTGATTTGAATATTACAAGTTCCAGCAAGCTGCAGTGCTGTACAGTAGAAACTTCGGTTACTGAACGAGAGGAGAGGTGGATGAACTGCTGAGAGCTGCAAACAGAAAGGTGGAGACTCTTCTTCCCAGGAGACTGAGCTCCTCTACCTGTTCGCCACACTGTCGCCATGACAACGGCCGAGCACATCTCCGTCACCGAGGCGTTTCTGTGCTCGTCTCATTTTGTCATTCAGACGCGTCTCTGTTTCTCTCTCTCTCTCTCTCTCTCTCTCTCTCTCTCTCTCCCTCTCTCTAATTAAGATGCGGCTCCAGCAGTCTGGTGGGGGAGGGGAAAATCACTCCATACCTGAGAGAGAGAGAGAGAGAGAGAGAGAGAGGAGGGAGGAGAAAAGGCACACATAAACTGGTTTCATTTACACTGGAGTGGTTTTGTTTTGACACGCTGCTTCAGTCTAAAAATGTCGTCCACTCTTGCGTTTCCAGAAAAGATTTTTATTCACAAAACACAAGCAAAACTGCATAATCAGAAGCCAAATGCTGCTATAAGAATCTAGTACATTAACTGTAGCTCATTTTACAAATCGAATTAAACCCATTATTATGACATTCCTTACAACTACACTGTTAAAAAACATCCGTTATTTTACTTTTTTTTTTTTCTCTGGGAGCTGTGGTGCTGAAAAAAAAACCATAAAATAATTCCTGTTAAATTACAGACATTTACCATAAAATAACAGCTGATAAATTTTAGACATTAACTGTAAAATTACAGAAATTTACCGTAAATTAAAGTTTTAAGGGATTGTCTCCAATTAAACGTTTGTTATTTTATGGTAAATGTCTGCAATTTAACAGCCGGTATTTTATGGTAAATGTCTGCAATTTAATGGCCGTTATTTTGCGGTAAATGTCTGCAATTTAACAGCTGGTATTTTATGGTAAATGTCTGCAATTTAACAGCACAATTTTACTGTAAATGTCTGCAATTTAATGGCCGTTATTTTACGGTAAATATCTGCAATTTAACAGCCGTTATTTTATGGTAAATGTCTGCAATTTAACGTTAGTATTTTACGCTAAATGTCTGCAATTTAATAGCCGTTATTTTACGGTAAATATCTGCAATTTAACAGCCGGTATTTTATGGTAAATGTCTGCAATTTAATGCCCGTTATTTTACGGTAAATGTCTGCAATTTAACAGCCGGTATTTTATGGTAAATGTCTGCAATTTAATGCCCGTTATTTTATGGTAAATGTCTGTAATTTATAGTCTGGTATTTTATGGTAAATGTCTGCAATTTAACAGCCACTGTTTTATAGTAAATGTCTGCAATTTAATGGCCGTTATTTTACGGTAAATATCTGCAATTTAACAGCCGGTATTTTATGGTAAATGTCTGCAATTTAACGTTAGTATTTTACGCTAAATGTCTGCAATTTAACAGCCGTTATTTTACGGTAAATATCTGCAATTTAACAGCCGGTATTTTATGGTAAATGTCTGCAATTTAATGGCCGTTATTTTACGGTAAATGTCTGCAATTTAACGGCCGTTATTTTACGGTAAATGTCCGCAATTTAATAGCCGTTATTTTACGGTAAATGTCTGCAATTTAACAGCCGGTATTTTATGGTAAATGTCTGCAATTTAACAGCCGGTATTTTATGGTAAATGTCTGCAATTTAATGCCCGTTATTTTACGGTAAATGTCTGCAATTTAACAGCCGGTATTTTATGGTAAATGTCTGCAATTTAATGCCCGTTATTTTACGGTAAATGTCTGCAATTTAATGGCCGTTATTTTACGGTAAATGTCTGCGATTTAACAGCCGGTATTTTATGGTAAATGTCTGCAATTTAACGTTAGTATTTTACGCTAAATGTCTGCAATTTAATGGCCGTTATTTTATGGTAAATGTCTGTAATTTATAGTCTGGTATTTTATGGTAAATGTCTGCAATTTAACAGCCACTGTTTTATAGTAAATGTCTGCAATTTAATGGCCGTTATTTTACAGTAAATGTCTGCAATTTAACAGCCACTGTTTTATGGTAAATGTCTTTAAATTAACGTCTGTTATTTTACTGTAAATGTCTGCAATTTAATGGCCGTTACTTTGATTTTACCTCACCTGCCAGAAAAAAACTTAAATAACTGATTTTTATTGTACACCCAAAAATAATCACGATGAAGCTTATCATCATTAACAATAATGCAATAGCCTAGTGGTTAGCGTGCTGACTGACATATGGTGCAGTAGCACTTCAGGGTCTCCCGAGTTCAAATCCCGGCTCGAGGACATTTCCCATCCCTACCCCCTTTCTCTCTCCTACTTTGCTTCCTGTCTGAACCACTTAATAAACACAAAAAAGGCCATTAATAAATAAAAAAAAAATTTAAAAAATACTGTGCATGCGTGATTCATTGAACCAAACACAAACAGCTTGTTGTGACTGAACTAAACTTAAAAAACTGCAGCACAGGTTAACCGAGAGCTTAAATGAAAGGCGAAACGTAAGTTTATTTCATAACAAAATCACAATAGAATTTAAATAAGTGAATCATGCAAAGTGTAATTGTAAGAAAGTTTTCAGAGCATGTTGATGTTTTAACTGGCTGAAATTATGATTGCTGACTATATTTGATATATTAAATCCAAACTTAGTTAGATTGCCAAAGATCCAGTTTGCGTTAAAGATCCGAACTTCCCATCGCTACCGTCTATCCAATCTCAGAAACACCCTTGCACGCATATTTGACTTGTAAGGCAGCTGTCTTTTGGGCTGTTGTATTTGAATTTGAGGATGGGTAGATAGTAGTGGTAGATACCATCTAGGTAGTGTTCTTGTGTCCAAAAATGTAGTCTATCTTTGGTTGATTTTTAATTCTACAACATTTATTCTGATGATTTTGAATCTTGCACCTAACAAATATCCTAAAATTTACAAAAAAAATAAACAAACAAAAAACCTAAAACTATTACTGAAACTAATAAACTAAACAAACTAAGCAATTTCAAAATATAAAAACTAATAGAAACCAGTTGATCTGCCTCTAAATACTAATTAAAACTAACTGAATTCGGTTTACTTTGTTCAGATATAATGCAAATGTCCCTCCTGAAGGCCTGACGGAACGTTTTTCTGCCCCAAATTGATGGATGCTTGCGTGCATGTGTGCGCCATGCTATAATCAGACCCTAAATTAGAGAGCATCGGTCGGAGGCGTTCCAAAGCCACAATGAATCTTAAGATGTCTCACCAAGCCGCTCTATAAATATGAATACAGCTATTGTAGCCAAAACAGGACAGCCCTAGCCGGGAGAAAAAACGTGTTTGTGCGCATGTCCTTCCTGTTCCCCATGCGTGTGTGTGTGTGTGTGTGTTTGCTCTGCAGATGTTCGCATGGCCTCTTGCTTTGGGAAAGGGTAGATTTTCCGTAGAGTAAACGAACCGCTGAGATAATTGGGTTAACGAGGGAAAAGGGGGCGTGTCTGAGTGCTCCGGGGATTTCAGGAATGCCGTTAACATAACAGTAGCAGGGTGGAGCGAGGTGAGCGAACACTAAGAAACTGCCCCGAGTTAATTGGGAAGCAGGGATATTTAGATAATGCTGTCAGAAGCGATGTGCAGGCCATTAATCAGCAACAAATGACGAACTGCATTTATATAAGTGCTCTCATTCATCCGAGAGCACGCGTTCATGGCTTTAATGAGACGGCTTTCTGGAGAAAAAATGTCATTTGTTTACAATATACGTTTACATGCAGGCATTTAGCAGACGCTTTTAATCCAAAGCGGCTTACACATGAGAAACATCACAAGCTGACAGCAGGATCTGTGCACAGATTTTTATTTATACTTTTTTTTTTGTGATGGGATAGAAAATCAGTATTTGGTGCTGTGAAGAAGCTTTCAGTGAGTAGATCTTAAAAGAAAAGTGTGTGTGTGCGTGTGCGTGTGCGTGTGTGTGTGTGTGTGTGTGTGTGTGTGTGTGTGTGTGTGTGTGTGTGTGTGTGTGTGTGTGTGTGTGTGTGTGTATACAGAGCATTTTTCCCATATTTTGTGCTTCACATAGTGTTTATTTACAGTCGTGAATTGTATTGTGGGAGTTTTATCTCTGCTCTGTCGACTTTTGATGTTGAAAATTCAACTCTGCTGATTAACATTTATTAGCATTTTAGTATTTTGTGACT